TATTCCGCTTCTGCTGTAGAGGTGGAGACGGTATGTTGTTTCTTGTACTGCCACGACACCAGCCTATCACCAAGAAATTGGCACCCTCCTGATGTTGATTTCCTGTCAAGCTCACAGCCTCCATAATTACTGTCAGCAAAAGCATATAAATCAAATTCAGAATTCTTCGGATACCAAAGACCCAATTTTGGGCTGCCTTTGATATACCGAAAAATCCTTTTGACAACAATAAGATGAGAGAGTTTAGGATTAGCCTGATAGCGAGCACATTGACACACTGCAAACATGATGTCGGGACGACTTGCAGTGAGATACATCAACGATTCGATCATCGATCTGTAGTGAGTCTGATCTACGGATTCGCCCTCAATATCTGGATTCAGCAGGGGTCTTTCAGCCATTGGTTTCGATGCAGGTTTCGCGTCTTGAAACCCGAACTTCTCAAGAATATCCTCCACATACTTAGCTTGATGTAGCAGGATTCCGGTTGAATTCTGTTTGACCTGAAGCCCCAGAAACATGGTCATTTCGCCTAGAGAACTCATCTCAAACCGCTTCTTCATCACGCCTTCGAACTCTTTGCAAAGCTGTGGACTGGTAGACCCGAAGATAATGTCGTCAACGTAGATTTGAACTAGTATCTGATCATTACCAACATGCTTGATGAATAACGTTTGATCAATAGTGCCGCGAGAGTATCCATGCTCGAGCAAGTGCTTTGTTAGTGTCGCATACCATGCTCGAGGAGCTTGATGTAACCCATACAACGCCTTGTCCAACTTGTAGACATGGTTAGGAAACAAACAATCAATCACGAATGCTCTGATACCAATTGTAAGGTCCAAATAAGGATCTTTACAGTAGTCAAGCAACAAACAATCACGAATGGAAGAATAAGATGAAAAGAAATCGAGCTTGCACACGTTTGTATTCATAAAAACGTCAGGTACAACTCGATAGGGCTCTCTGTAAACGCAATAGCATCAACAACTACACAATGACCAACACCTCTACTATTTATACTCGACAAGACCGCAAACGGGGTTTACGACCATAAACAGGGTTTACGGTCGTAAACGTGTTTACGGCCGTAAACTCTGTTTACGGTCGTAAACACATATTCTGACTGATATCACCTAAACAACCCCCAAAACGTATTACAGACTCATACTAAACCAAATACAATGAAAGCCTAGACCAAACCATTCACAGGGCCCTTCAGTTCTCAAATGTTCTCAAATTAAGAATTGTTTTCATTTGAACACACTTATATATATATATATATATATATATATATATATATATATATATATATATATATATATATATATATATATATATCAGAATAGCCTCAAAATTGCTATTCTAAATGGTTTTAAAAATCAAATTGAATAGAAAATTAAACCACAAGGACGAAAACAACAATACTTATACTTTTTTGGATAAAATCTCAAAGGGTATTCAGGGACCAAATTTGTAATTTACTCTAAATTTTTGAGAAGAATGTATGAAGTCAATATAGTTACAAATCCTTGAAAGTAAATGTTTTCTTAATGGCCAATCGGTGAGTCGTCTTGAATATTCAAAAGTTGAATATTCTTCATAAGAGAATATAAGAAATGTGGATCATGATATATATTAATGGAGTTCGTGTTTTCCACTTATCCATTTGATCTAATTATGTTGAGATTGAGACACATCAACATGCATTCTTCACTGATGGATGGAATAACTATTAATCTTGAACAAGTAAAAATAAGGGTTATTGTCAATGTAGCCCAACTAACTATCACGTTTTGGTTTAAAAGGTTCATCATGTTATTTTTTTACATCATGAGGGCATAAACTTTCAAATTACGGATTAAATAGGGGAATATACGAAAAATGAAGCGGTCATCTGGTTTCCTAGATGAGCTGGCGTCCACATAACATTTGTTCAGCTGAAATGATTCATGTGGCACTTACATGGTGTCCAGGTGGATTTTTCATGTTAAAATAAAATTTTCAAAAATCTTATCTCTTTCACCTAAATAAAATGAAAGAGCCATAGAACCATGTAACCCTAAGGGGATGTTTGGTACAGGGAAATAAAATCAGAGAAAAGGAATTGATTCCTTTTCCCTTGTTTGGTTAGTAAAAAAAAGTAAGGAATTGAGAAATAAATCAATTCCTTTTCCATCTAAACAATTCCCTTTTAAAAATAGAGAAAAATGGGAGAAATAAAACACACGCATCGGACGAGAATCGGAAAAAAAAAGCGGAGAAATCAATTTCACCCCATTCGAACCCTCCTACGTACATTCAATCGGATTTTATTCAAAGACTTCATCCCAATTTCATGTAATCGGTCCATGTTCGTCTTCTCCTTTGCCTACTGCATATTCGATTTCATCGGGTCTCACGATTTCACACAGCCTCACGACGTCACGATCTGTGGGTTTCCTATTCTTCTCGATTTTTTCACAGCATTCTTCAATTCAAGGTATGAGTAAACGATTCTTGTTAATCTTGCTATGAAATATGTTTTTGAATTCCAGTTCAAGAATTTTGTTTCTGAATTCTATATGAATCTCTTCTTTGTACATGTTTGAATCTTGCTATATTGAAATCTGGTGTTTGAAGCTTGTAGTTTAGTGTTGAATGATATGATAGATTGCCATTTGTTACTGTTTGTGCTTCAGTTGTATGTACAAAAGCCAAAAAAAATTACAATTTTAGATTTTTTTGAATTTTTTCTCCAACTTTGAACCATCAAAAAATATTCATACGAGATCGGAATGAGGGGTTTTTTTTCCAGATTGTAGTCATTTGTCTTGTCTACACTTTAGTATCAAAAAGCAACTTAATTGGTTAAGATATGGCTGAGTTATACATCCTTAAACAGGGGCTGTTAGAGATGTTGTCTAATATTTCAGCATTGTTTAGTTTTTTTCATAACTTTGAACCATCATAATATCTTCATACTAGCTCGGAATGATGCGTTTTTTTTTTTCAAGATAGTAGTCTTCTATCTTGGCTACACTTTAGAATCAAGAAATAACTTATTTGGTCAAGTTTGGGCTGAGTTATACAGCCCTAAACAGGTGCTATTAAGATTACTGCATAATATTTCAGCACTTTTTAGTATATTTTGTGCAACTTTGAACCGTCATAAAATCTTCATACTAACTCGGAATGAGGCGTTTTTTTTTCAGTTTGTAGTCCACTGTCTTTTCTATGTTTTAGAATAAAAAAATAGTTTATTTGGATAAGTTTAGGCTGAGTTATACAGCCCTAAACAGGTGCTGTTAAGATTACTGCATAATATTTCAGCCCTTCTAAGAAATTTTTGTCCAACTTTGAACCGTCATAAAATCTTCATACTAACTCGGAATGAGGCAAATTTTTTTCCAGATTGTAGTCCCCTGTCTTGTCTACGTTTTAGTCTCAAGAAATATCTTATTTGGTTTGGTTTTGGCTGAGTTATGCAACTCCAAACATTGGCTGTTAGGATTTTTGTACAATATTTCAGCAAATTTTTTTTTGTTGCTTTTTTGTCCTAACTCTTCCTTGTTTGTATATACGTAGATGACACGAACACCTTTGCAACAACAAATTGTAAGAAATAGACAACTTGTTAGGACATCCGCCGTAAGAGCATTTTATGCAATGTATGTTATGATTCGTTGGTGGATGATGTATGATTTTGCTATGAATTGTTTAGAAAAAGCTACGATATTACGGGAAAAATAGTTAATGAGTTACCATAATGGACATGAAAGTATTCACGATATGGTTTATAAAAGTGATAAAACAAGTGTGGTTAACATAAGAATGAATAGAAATGCATTTACAAGACTATGTGGCATGCTTGAACAAAGAGGGGGGTTGAAAAATAGCAAAAACATGTTAGTTAACGATTGGTCTCGACCTCCTACAAATGCTAAAGAGTTATATAACATGAGACATTCATCAGCAAGGAACGTAATAGAACGATGTTTTGGATTGATTAAATCTAGATGGACTATTTTACGTGATAATGTATACCATCCAATAGAATCTATGCCACGCATAATCATTGCATGTTGTTTGATGCATAACTTCATACGTACAACCATGACAGAAGACCCCCTTGATCAAGAAATCCCTACAAATCACACACAATTTGGAGACAAACATGACAACATTATTTCTACCGTGGAGACCTCACAAGGATGGACTGACCGTCGATATCTTCTTGCTAATACTCTGTTTACTGATTGGAGTTCATGGCGTGCCAATAATTAATTTATTCCATGTTTTTATGTAAACTTCATTATTCATTATGTGGTGTGTATACTATTTTTAATGATTGAACAACTCTATTGTTATTTCATTATTCTTGTTTTTATATTGTATTCATTATGTGGTGTGATAATATTTTTTTAGTTTGAATCTATTTGTAAATTATTCATTTATATTAGAAATATGTTTTTCAATATTAGATATATATAAAATAATATTAATTAACAAGAAAATAAATTATTTGGTAAAAAGTGATGTTATAATAAAAAATTATAAACACAAAATATACTTATTTTGGCAAACTAAGATGTGCATCATAATGCATTTTTATAAAAACAATGTTGTTTGAAAATAAATAAATAAGGTAAAAAAATGCATTTCCATTTCACTGTTTAATACTACCAAACAAGAGAAATGATTTTCAGACACATTTTTCTAATGAATTCTCAGTTCTACCAAACAGGGGAGTCAATTCTCTTTTTCCAGCTTAATTCTCTTTTTCCAGCTTAATTCTCTTCGGCAATTTCATTTCTCTATACCAAACGCAACCTAAGAACCTTTGTTCGTCTTTTTTTTTTTCATTTTTGCCGGCAACAGAATTGATACCAAAGTTGACAATGACGGTGGTGAACGGTGGTAATGGTGAGTGCCTTTGTTCCATCCCGGCGCTTCCTTGATAACATCTTACTACTATGTTCGTTCTTCCCCAAAATCAACGAATCGAACACAAAATTGACTCAAACAAAAGCAAATTGTAACCTGGAATTGAAATATTGAATGTGGGTTATGTGATAGTTCCATGGGCCGGTTATGTGAGAGTTCTGGTGACCTTCTACACGATCCGAATTCGATTCCGAGTAACCATTGATTAAGACTGTAAATTGATCTGATCGAGAGCTTGCCGGGACAGTAAGTGTGTACTGTCACAGTAATAGTCACCGAAAAGTAGTTAGAGGGGGAATACAATGAAGAAACATAACGAAGCGACGCCGATAAAGATGAATATCACTTCATCGGTTTTGTTCGTCATTTATTTCTAAAAGTGAACTTTTTCGTAACTTTTACAATACTTCTGATCAGGTACAACTTCTTTCGAGCACCGCCATTTTTTCCCATGTATTCTCCAGCACCTCCTTGTTCTGGATCATTGTTCGCCGGAAAATCTAAACGGAATATATATGAAGTTCCTTACCTAAACTGGATGCATTTGAGGTTGAAGACGACCCGAAAAACACAAACGAGTCGAGTGATTTCTTGATGTGATTGATCAAAAGCAAAGGAACAGGGACATTGGGTGACACAGAATCGAACACCAAATTCGACTAATCTTTGTTCTCCCTAAAATCGAACACCAAATTCGACTAAAACAAAACCAGATTTACAACCCTGGAATCGAACGCAGGTTACGTGGGAGTTCCATAGGCGAGGAAGGAACTGGGCGTTGAGACTAGACGACAGTTGTCAGATAACATAGATCGGATAACCGTTGGGACTGAATGCAACTCATTGGGTGTTTTGCAGGTGGGTGTTCCAATGATGGTCCAAATCTACATCGACCTCGAGCATTCCCCCTTTCCCAGATTCCTAACAAAATCATATAACAAATTAAGCAAATCTTCAAGAATTTTATATTTATGTATAAAAGATTTGTTCCTTTACCTGTCATTCGAGAACAATTTCAAAATTAGGTTGTGTTTATGGAAGCAAGTCAAATAGACAAGAAGGTCAAAGAAAATGGGGAGAAGGAATCAATGGAAGATGCATTTCCAAAAAAAAAAGCCACATGGCTTATTCTTTTAAATTTTAGTTTTTAAAAAGAAAATGAAAAGTCAAATAAAGCAGGTAAAACCGGCTTAAAATATGGTCGATTTCTTTATTAGTAGGTAAAACATAAGTTTATGCCCTTAAGATGCAAAAAATTAACATGAGGGACCTTTTAAATCAAAACGTGATAGTTGGTTGGACTATAATGACAATTACCCTAAAAATAATAAAACATTTTATAATGTTAATCCTTAAAGTTAGAGTAAATTACAAAATGGTCCTTGTGAGTTTTGATTTTTCCCGTGTTTAGTACAAAAGTGAAACGTTGTTCAATTTTGGCCCTCCTCGCAAAGTTTCTTATCAATTTTCTTTGGGCCCCGAGACATCAACTTTCACAATAACTAGTGTGCATTGCCGCGAAGAACTCATTTGCAATTAATAAAAACAAAAACTATAAAAACAAAATTATGTAAATGACCAAAACCGTAACTTTAATGTGTCGGGTAACTCATTTGCAATTCGTTATACATAATGTGATTTATAAATGTCAAGAGTCCACATATAGCACCGTGACGATACCACAAAAGTATTAAAATAAATTTTTGATCCAAACAATTGTTTGTGGTGGAGACGGGCGAAAATGAGATTGGAAAATATATTTTAAGGAAATTGATAAAAATGAAAACTATAAAAAACAACTTACACAAGGGGCCAAAACGTAACTTTAAAATATAGTGAGGGACAAAAATCACAACTTATCAAATACCAATAATTTATTTTTAAAATTATGAAGGGTGAAAACTATTAAATCAAAATTTTTTAACGAAAAAAAGTGTAATATGATAATATCGGAGGTAAAATATCTATCTTTGGACCGACTCTTCTTTTCCATCTTTGTTGAAAAAGTTGTAATATGATATGATTTATGCCATTTCTGATCCAAGAGAAAGTAATAAATAATGATTTCACATCTCAACAATGATCGGTTCCATTTCTATGTGGTTTATCCAGATCTGAAGTTTAGTCCGTAGGGTTTAAAAACATCATAGATGGTCAATGTGCTTTCAAAAACTTTTGACCATTGGTCTTTAAACCTCACACCGTTAGAACCCACCGTTAACTCATTTTTATTAAAATAATATAAGTTATAGTTGGTCTTTTCACATGTACCCTCTTATTTATAACCAAATACATGTATGATCATTTTGAAAACTTTTCTCGCACCATTATATGCTCTCACTCTATTGTTCATCCATTTGGAAAACTCTTCTGCAAGTGTCGAAGATGGGGATTTGTATTTTTGGAATCGAAACAACGAAGGTGACCTCGTGGACGGATCGTAACCTTGGAATTTGGAACTGTTCAAGTTGTGGGCTCGTAAGGTGGGTTGACCCTCCGATGTGTGCTAGGGCAATGGTAGTGATTACAGGTTTGATAAGATCAGTGAATCGATTGGAAGAGAGAGTTTCAATTATGAGTGTAGAACTGTGGAACTACCAGCTGATGTTGTTCTGTTCATGGATGTTTTTTTTAACCAGTAAGATGGTTGTGGGAGTTAGATGGTAATGGGATGGGGGTATTTGGTTTCTTTTTTAAGCATCTAACTAGTTCAGGGGTTTTTGGATTGTGGTGGAATGGGGATTTTTGGTTTCATTTAGTTATATGAAGTTTTATGTAACACATTAAGTCAATGGAAGTTTAACGTAATGTACTTTGTTATAAATCAATAGTTTTGATGTGCATTTTCGTAAATACATTGGTATAACTACATCTAGCAAATGGTTAGGAATGGTATTTCAAATGTATATTTTTATACATGCATCCTTTTGAGAATGGTTTGGAGATGGTAATTCATAAGCAAACTGTTAATAAAACCATTACATACCAAAGTTGAAACATGAGACTTAGTTTCAAAATACTTAATGATGGAAGGTCTTAACGCATACATACATTACAAATTTAAACAACCAAACCATAATTTATGTTTTAAAAGACCTAATTACCCATACATCCAACTAACTACTTAACAGAATTTCGAGCCCCATTTCCCTTTCCCTGTATCTTCCCCTTTTCTCGAACTTCACCGATGCTTCCCTGCCCTTTACACGTTCTTTAAATGTGCCCCTTCTTATGAAACTTTGAACATGTAACTACAAGAAATTTCCTGCTCAATTTAGTGGTTTGGCTGTTGAGCTCATCAACACCTTTCCTTCTCTTCTTTTTTGGCCTCCCAACCTACACATATGCATATATTATAGTTAAAACATAAACATACATGTTGGAACTCAAAGTACATATTTAGCCTAGTTCAAATAACAACTAGTGTGTGATGTTGTGGTGGAGTTAAAGTGAATGGACAATCACTTTTTGGCCACATTCAACGACCATTTATTGGATCAGTTTTATTCAGATACATGGCTCTCCATGTTGATAACTTATAGAAAGGATGGGCCCAATCCTTAATATTAGGGGCATCTTCTCCATTTTCAATATTGTTCCATATAGCAGAAACAACATGCTTATATGGAAAACCTGTAATCTCCAAGAACCTACAAGTGCAACTTCTTTCATTTAATTTTACCACATATTGATCCTGCCATGTGCGTGCAACTTGGTACTTTCCTGCCCCATTACACTTAGCTACATACATTGCTGCTTTAGTCTTAATCTCCTCTAAAATTATAGTTGCAGTAGTACTTAGTTACCCTTTACACTTACCTATTTCCTTTTGCACAATCTCTTCATGAGATACTCTCTCTAATATACTGTAAGTAGGTGATGATTGGTTTATCCCTACATTCGTCTATCTTAGCATTGAATACCTCACAAAGTTATTCAACAAACAATCAGTGTGTACCTTACCTGTGTAAAACATATTAAAAAATTAAATTACACATTTTATATTAAAAAACTTAAAACTCAACAACTGGTTAGTGACATACCACTTAAGTGAGATATAGACCATGTCTCTAAATGAATCTTACACTACCAAGCATGAGCTTCATCATTAAGTTTCTTCAACCATCCATTGCATATTTAAAGTGATTTAATGTTGTTGCTCCAGCACATTCTTGGACCTTGTCACTCAACTCTTTTCCTTTCCACTATTTTTTTCATATTCTCTTGAATATGCCTCAAACAAAACCTATGTTTTGCATCGGGGAATACCTTTATAACTGCTGGTATTATCCCCTTAACAAATACATATATACTTAGTTTCATTTACAAAAATTGAAAGTAAGATACATTAACATGAGATATAATGAGGTGAAACATACCTTTTGTCTATCAGAAATGTAGGTTAAATTTGAATTTTCTCCTAATTCCTAATAGTTCCATGAACCAGGTCCAAGAACTAGTTGTTTCTGCCTCTACCACAGCATATGCTACAAGGTATATTCCATTATTTGAGTCTAGACCCACATCAGTTAGTACCAGCCCAGGATATGGGGATTTTAAGAGTGTACCATCTACTCCCAGGAAATCCATTAACCCAGATTTGAATCCCAACTTCAATTCACTTATACATATATATATCCTTCTAAAAGTTCTTGTATTACTCGAAAAGCATGCTTCAGGATACATATCATAATAGTTATACCACGATTAGTGTTTTGTAGTTCCAAAGCATAATCCCTCAGATACCCATATTGTAGTTGGTAGTCCCCAGTGATGAGACGTTTAACCATTTGCTTTGCCCTAGCATCCCTTTAAGTTAACATACCAAGCTCCAATTTCTTATACAACTCCTCGCGTAAGGTTTTGATTAGAATTCTAGGGTTACTCTGAATTTGTTGAACAATTAAGTTTGCTAAATATTTGGAAGTACAAGCTTTAACTGATCTCGTCTGCAAACATTTATGGTCATCTTGTACTGTTTTCGCCAACCAATCCTGGTTTTCATTGGGCCTCTAGATTTGGACTACCCAAGGACATTTTCCTTTTTTACTAATCACATTTTTTCCCTTCCACTTTACCTTACTTCTAGTTGACGGGCCATCACGTTCAACTATTTCAGTAGATTGGCCCACAACACCACCACATTTCACCCTTATCCTGATTTTATCATTTTTTGCTAAGTACAAGGACTTCTTTATTTTTACAGCATGTGAATGTATGTAATCCACAATGTCACACCCCCAAACCAGAACGGCGGAATCGTTCGAGGGCGGATGACTTCATGTAGTATCATAACAGTTGAGTAAATAGTAAAGAAAGCAAACACAACCATCATAAATATAATTTAAAAAGTTACATTGTTGATTGTAATACATGTTTCAAAAGAAATTACATTATGATGATATAATAAGTTTGAAATTGACGCCTTAGCGTGCCTTCCCCAAAAGCTGTTGTTTACCTGTGTATTACTGAATCCCTGAGAAATACAAGTAGTTTTGAAAAAGTGTCAACAATTAAGTTGATGAGTTCATAAGCATTTTTGTATTAGAATTGTATGCCTTTCTGTATAAATAACTGAGTTTGTTTCTAGAAAATCCAATATTTTCCATAAATGTGTAGTAGTTTTACAAGTTCCAAAACCGAAATGCATAAGTATTTTCCATACCTAAAATAGTGTAAGTAGATTTATATGTGGATATATAATCACTAAGGCGCTTAATAGCCCCGTAAATCAAAATATTTTAATACTTCATGTGAGTTTTATAACCGTGCTAATGAAACAGATTGCCTGTAACAACATTCTTCAGGCGTTGAAATGATATGACGTTTGTCACCCCAGACCTGCCGGTCTAACTGTAGCTAACAGTTAGATCTATACACAAGTATCACGCTCTCCCTACAAAGAGATTATGGTTTATAATACAGGACTTTAAATGCGTACTTGAAAGTACGTGAAGTCAAATGTCTCACAAAAGTTAGTATCAAATAGATTTACGTATGAAAAGTCAATTTTTCTTGTAAATGTAAGTATTTCCTCTTTATAGTGTTTATAGTATGTGAATATCATGTATAACTTGTAAACTATACATATTATAGTTTTTCGAA